ATGAAAGGAAACATTGCTGGAAAAGCCACTTTACAGCTATTCTGTCTCAAGGACAAGGGCAGAGCGCAAGGGGCAGAGACAAGGAAGAGAAAGAGGTTTGCAGAGGAGACTTCAAAAGCGATGGAAAGATTCGTTGAGTCAGAGGGCTGCAAGGAGGCTGCTCAGCACAGCCGGGAGATACAGAGGTGGCAGCATTCACACTGACAACCACGAGCTTGGGAGGAGAACCTGGGATTAGGGAGCTCGTGCGTCAGAGGTGAGATGCAGAGACGGGGTGGGAGAGAAGCGCCTCCGATCTACTGCTGGGGCTCCGTACTAGGATCTGAGCAGCAGGCTGCTTTTTCATTTACTCCCTTTGTGTTTCCAGATTTGCTGAGGCTGATTTTTGCTGATGGAGGTGGGGAGGAATGTCAAAAATAGGCCAGCAAGCTCAGAACCAGCCATTCGCGATCGCCTCTTGTTAGAAACTGAACACTGTCAGCAAAAGCTCCAGCTGCGGACGGCGTCCGTTCGGCCTGGCTGGGCAGCGCGGGCACGTCCTGCTCCACCCAGCCAGTGCCGCAAGTCTCCCTCCGTGCTCAGCCTCCCACCCAGCTTCACACCTCTGCTGGAGGCCAGCTCCTCCCTCTCATCCGGAGGCCCCTTGTAGCCCCAGTTCAGCAATGCATTTAAAGTGCACACTGAACTCGGGTTGTTTCGACTGGTTTGGAAGCCGGTCTTCCCTGCATCTCTCATGTGATTCAAGAAAGCTGGGCCTGGAGTCAGTCTGAGAGCCCTTCCCAGCTTCTCCAACCAAACACACCTCTGCTGGAGGCCAGCTCCTCCCTCTCATCCGGAGGCCCCTTGTAGCCCCAGTTCAGCAATGCATTTAAAGTGCACACTGAACTCGGGTTGTTTCGACTGGTTTGGAAGCCGGTCTTCCCTGCATCTCTCATGTGATTCAAGAAAGCTGGGCCTGGAGTCAGTCTGAGAGCCCTTCCCAGCTTCTCCAACCAAACCCCTCCCTGCCCTGCCACCAGCTTCTACAGCCTGCTGCTGC